ACTTTTTCAGCAAAAGACACAAAACTGGTTACAAAGGCTCCGATATCGACCAGATTTCCAAGCTATTATTACTTAATTGTCCTCGTCGTCTTCAGATAAGTGCATACCTTCCACAAAAGTCATAAAAGGTCCACATATATTTTCAAATAAATCACCTTTTCCTTTTAGGAGATATGTAAAGTTGTCAACATTTGTCTGACCCAGTGCCTGATAGTTGGTGCTGCTGATTTCTTCCAGAAAAGTGACACGTTTAGATTGTAACAGACGTATACCGATCAATAACTGTTCACATTTGGTATATTTGATATATTTGGGATATAAACCCAGAATGAAAAAAACACGTTTCTTTTGAAACAAGTTGTTCTATAGTTTGCTCTACTTCTCTCCAAAAAATCCTAACTGCCCTGCGTCTGAAGCCTCTTTATTCGGATCAAACCTAAACGCCTCTGTTTTTCTACAGGTGCCCTGAAGGCCAAATAAAGGTAAAAGAAGGAAGTCTGACCGGTGACGTCGTCTGTAGCAGTGCACACAGGAGCCGTCCTGGGATAGCTGGGGCTTTTACCGTATTCATTCTAATGGTTATTGGCGTTTTAATAAAAGGTCTGTGGCAATTTTAACCAACTCACTTATGTCACTTGAATGCATTTAACAGAATAACACTTTAAAAGCATTTTGTTTATTAATCACTGCTTCATTTACCTGAAACAAACCTCTTTTTCTTTCAATATTTCAGGTCATATTGCAAAAAAATTTTTGCACGGTCCAGAAAACCTTCAATGACTTTTTAAAAAATTCCCAAAGCACATTTTTTATGTTTTTATGAGGAGTTTGATGCAAATCCTTCAGCAGAAACAGCAGAAACTGCAAATAAACGGCGAGAGTTGTCGGTCCTAAGCCCTCAGACAGGAAACACTGCTACAGCACGGAGACTTTGTGGTTACACTTCGAGTTTTAAAGGAAATCCAGGTACAAAATAGTTCGATTGAAGAAAAAAAAACACAAAAAAACAAATTGGTAGAAAAAGGAAGAATCTTGAGTTTTTTAAAGACTTTTTTGTTGTTGTTTGGGAACAATTCAGAGGTTTACAGTGGGGGAAATACAAAGAATGCTATAACTTTAATCATATGTACATTCTAACAGTGAAAGACAGAATCCCAAAGAAAATTCCAGAAAATCACATTATATGATTTTATAAAAATTGATAACCATCTGATGAGGAAAAATAAGCATTCTTT